TCGACCAATCTTCTTGCGACTTCGGTGGCATCCATCGAGGAGAGTTTAGATTCGTCGTTACTGGCGCTCCATGCTATGCTGAAGTTTGTGACTCATCTGCATCAAGAGGGTCTCAGCTTAGCCGAAGGGGAGGATAGCGAAGGTGGAGAGGGGCGAGAAGGTAGTGTCTCCTGTGGTTCCTCCAACGCTTCCATTCTGAGAACATCGAATTTGTACTGCAGCCTGAGCTCTATTGCTAGGGAGTTTTCGGGCATCAAGAGAGTGATTCATGTGCGGCTGGTTTTTCGTCAGGCACTACCGACTGGCAACAAGGTACGGGTCTTGGTGAAGGCTCGGGAGCTCGAGATGTGAGCGATGAGATTGAGGATAAAAACATGTTCGACACTGTGCAAGAAGAAAAGAAGGAAGAACAGCCGCAACAGGAACAGCAGGTGGGCTCAGTGGAGATGTTTCACTATTTGATCGGTGCTTTGTAGGAAACGGAAGAGGATAAGAGCAAGGGAGTCGAGGTTGGAGATATCATGGACGTTGAGGGTCCGGAGGAGAATGTGCAACGTAGTCGTTGGGTTGTCCGGACTTTGGTGATTTCTGTGCATCGGTCTCGGCGTTACATGCCGGGAAATAGTGATGCTACTGTTTTGTTTTTTTGGTGGCTTTCATGTTCGGTAGACGATTGAGGGATTACCGGTTTCTCGAGTGTTCGGATCAGGATGTTCTAAGGATTCAGAATTGTCATCTCGGTTGATGTCAGGGGAACCTAATGAGGAAGATGAGAATGAGGATAAAGAGGACAATATGGATAGAGAGATGGGAGAAGTTGATCTCAAGGAGGGTGGCGAGATAGAGGAAAAGCAGAAGGGCCCTGAAGAGAAGGATAAGGACGAGGAGGTAGTAGTCTGGCGAGCCCATGCTGATGCATCTGAACGATGTTGTGCTTTTAGGCATCGGAATCGGAGGATGAGGGTGGTGGAGAGGACAAGCAGGATGAGAATATTGAGTCTAAGGGCGGCGAAAAGCAGTCTGAGACGGATATTGTTGCGGCTGAGGACCAAGGAGGAGAAGCGGATGAGAAAAATGGTAAAACAAGAGTCGCTTCGCTCCGCTAGAGTATTGATGTGTGATCGTCAATTCAGATGGCGAGAATGAGAAGAATTCTGAGGAAGGCGAAGACAGCAAAGAGCAAAGTGAGGAGGGGGATGAGAAGGATGAGGATGGAGAAGGTAGTATCGAGATTTATACGTGAGCTCGGAAATATGACAAATCTCGTGTCTCTGGGAGTGTACGCTGATGATCCCGACTGGATATTCTCCGGTTTATCAGGCAGTATCAATGAGGAGAGTGGTGATGAGGATGATGATGCCTTTGAAGCTTCGTTGGCCAAGGCCAAGGAAGATCAAGGTGAGCAGCACGTCGGGTATATATGAGGGATGCGGTGAGACTTCAGATGCGGGTGAGGAAGGCGATGAAAGTGGAGAGAACGCCCAGCAGGATGGCGAAGCGGATGAGGATGATATGGACCTCGATGACGATATGGTATGGGAGCTGAGAGGAGCTTGTCTTGCATGAGGCTCTCTGTAGGCCCTCGATGGCGAGGTTGGTGGTGACTCTGATGATGCTGTCACCGATGATGAGGAAGATGCGGACCTGGACGATGAGGATGCCAAGTCAGTGCATGATGAGGATAAGCAGAAGGAAGGCGAGGAAGAAGTAAGGCGAGTCGCCCTCGACGTTTCTATAGAGCATTGGGCGTAGGATGAGACCTCACCGGAAGATGAGACTGACGAGTTGAACTCAGCAGAAGCCGCTGAGGACCAGGACACTCTGATGGAGAACGCTGCCGAGGCTGCACCACAGCCACAAAGGAATGCTACCAACCCTGAAGATGAGGAAGGTAGGGGGAGAAGGGCGTCGGTTATGGCGAATGACTTGGGTGGTGCAGGGGGCCAGGGTGAGGAGCTGACTGGAGGCAGAGATAATGATGCTCATAATGAGGAAGAATCTACTAGAGATCAGCCCCAGGGAGCAGAGGTAGGCCATGAGAGAGAGGAGGGGAGAATGTATTGCTTGGTTGCTAGGATGCGGGTAGAGATGAGGAAGGTGCGGCGATTCGGGAGAGTGGACCTCAGGGGCAATCTAGCAGGGAGCAGAAGAGCAAGGTGATTCCGTGGGAACTTGATGAGGCTTATTATCGTGAAACACGTTATGGGGTGTGGCACTGTGTTTCAACTAGTAATTTAGATTGCCAGTAGTGAAATGAAAATTCGATTCGCATTTGTGTTTTCATGTCCGTTTTTTTTGTAATATGAAAATTACGGTAGATGAAAATAACTGTCCTGCCAGGCACCACCGGCACCACCGAATCCGTTGAAGGACTCGGTCGAGGAGGTAGAGAAGTGGCTCAAGCGGATTCAACTGATGGACGAGGATGCATCTAAAGAGGGAAGTGAGGAGGAGGAGGCCGGAGGAGAGCAGGAAGAGAACAACGAGGAACAGGGTCTCAACAAGGATGCAGTAGGAACTCGATGGTGTGAGTGCAATCGAGAGTTGCTCGACTCAGACTCAGGACGAGTCGTCCAAGCTGGAGGGCGTGGCGCAGGCAACAGGCGATAGTGCTGAGCATGCTGGAGAGCTCGAGCAGGAGGAGGATGACGAGGCAGCCTCAGAGGTTGATGAAATGGATGTTGATGAGGAGGATAAGATGGAAGAAAACAGGGACGGACTCGGTGGGTATTTGGTTCTAGGAGAGAGCATTCGATTGTGCGGCTTCAGGCCCTGCACCGCCCAAGTCGGCTGAGGACAAAACGTTCAAAAACGAACAGAAAGCACGCGATAAAGCAGATGATGAGGAAGAGCCTGATGCCTCTGGTCAAGAACCGGGTGCAGCTGATACGAAACACAAGGGCCCCCTGCGCTCCGAGGTTTCCAGGAATCCGGAAGCTCTCGCTGTACCTGTTGATGAAGACGGAGACGTGGAGATGAATGGTCTGAGTGAGGACATTATCTATAACGCTGGTGGAGAGGGCGATGCCAGCAATGACCGTCTGCAGCACATCGATCGTCTGTCGTCGAGCGTCTGTAGTGAGCTCACTGAGCGATTGCGTATGGTCCTCGAGCCCACTAAGCGTGGTGGAATGCAAGGCGACTACAAGACAGGGAAAAGGCTCAACATGCGGAAGGTCCTCGCGTGGGTAGCGAGCGACTATAGAAAAGATAGAATATGGCTCCGGAGGAACAAGCCGAGCAAGAGAGAGCACAACGTCATTGTGTGTTTGGATAATACCAAGTCAATGCGATCCAACCAATCTGGCGAACTATCCTTGTGCGCGGTTCATGCTATCACCCAGGCTATGTCTCGTCTCGAGATCGGCACTGTCGGAGTTAGTTCCTTCGGCAGCTCTGTTCGCTCCCTGAGGACACTGGTCTCACCTTCTCCTTTGAACCTACCCGAGCTGTTGCATCATTTCAATTTCGACGAGGAAAGTGCTGGATCAATGTCGCGCTCTTTGCCTGCTGTTCTGGACGACTGTGACGAGCAATTCACCCAAGTTGCGGGCGGTGATTACAAGCAAGCATGTCTGGCCGTGGTTGTGACGGATGGACGATTCAACAAAGAGGCGGTGCGACACTCTGTTCAGAACATGCTCAGCAAGAACCGTTTGCCAGTGCTCATTATTGTCGATGAGGCTGCCGAGTCTGGTCGCTCTATTTACAATTTGAAGGAGGTGGTTCGAGACCCTACGGGCCGCAGTAGAATGGCTCCTTTCCTGTCCAATAAAGACTTCCCATTCCCCTTCTATGCAGTGATACAAGATGTCTCTCAATTGCCTAATGTCCTTAGTGATGTCATCAAGCAATGGATTGAGGCAACTGCAATGAGGTGATGTCATTCAATGGCAACTAACGTCTTTACCAACGTACGTTACTACTGTTACTCTTTACATATGTTTCATTGATCGTTGAGAAGGATTGCGTTGTAACTGTTGCTCGTTGATGAGGGGAAGTTGCTTTTGAGCAGCGAAAGGTAGCGGTGTTGGAATCGAGCGGCGTCGGTTTTCGGAAAATTCCTTCACGGTCCCACACGATAGGAAAAGTAACTACGCAAATGGAGGAAATCTAAGAACCCAACGCGATGATAGTCGGGGTTTCCCTGAAGTTATATGATGTTACACGACACACATCCTTAACTAAACTACGCCCACGCTCGCTCGAGAGGGAATTGTGGAGCATAATTATTCCATGTGCAAAATGCGTGCCGATACTACAATGAGGGTACTCGAGCTGGCAAACTTACAAACTCAATCCCAGCGATTTGACAGAAATGAAACATAGCGACCAACATAGATTATTACTATCTGGAGGAGAAGGATATCTCCAATTCTGATAGCTGTATGCGTTCGCACCCGATAACAATAGTGAGATTGACTATGATGGGACATGACTTGCTAATTACCCTCTAATACATGACAACACCGACGTGCACTGACTGATAATCACTTCAAACATCGTAGTATTAATTTCTGTTACTTCAGAATCCGCTTCGCTCCGCCCACTGTCTCAGCCTGGCATATCCTTCGGAGCATTCAACGAGTTCTTGACAAAGATCTTTGTTCACGGATGACCCAGTGGGGACCTTATGGTATTGACTAGACGTCCTCTCCTCCTCAACAATGGTCATCATGCGCCTGTGAGAAGCTTGAAGGGCGACACGCAGATTCTCCAGCGAAATCTGCTTGACAGCTTGAAACATGAATAGAGCATGAGCGTGAATCCCACCGATTCGGCACTGTCTACGGTAAATCTCGCCAACTCAGCTGTTGCGGGAGCCGCGTTCAAGTCGGAGGTTGGCCTGCCCACTGAGCACTCCCACTCAACAGTACCGGGGGACCAGTCAGATCCATCGCATTGAGGGTGATCGGACTTTGACGGAGGTGGCAGAGCAAAGTCTCTGATGTGATGACTCCAGCCTGCTGAGCTCGTAGTCGTACCTAATATAATCCCGGCGTAACTCGAGCATGAGGGAGAGATACAGCAAG